GTAAAGGAAAAGAATCTAAGGAAAAATTTGTACGAAGGGTCGTGTCTGAGCAAGTCGACCCCTACACCTAATATCCCTAAGCAAAGTCGAAGTATAAGTAGTGGAACTTTACTTTCAGAACCGAGTGGCAGCCGAGCTCGGTATGTTTTAAGGTTTTAAAAAGGGTGACTCGGACCAGCACCCGCGGGGACACGAAAGTAGCTCTTGAGCGAGTGGAAGTGCAAAAGAAAGATAGAAAAGGCAAAACTGAAAAAGACAGGAGCGCTTTGAAATATTAAGTGACTGATGGATGGGGCTCTTGAGGGCAGAGAGAGACTGGAGGAGGAGGAAGAGGGATACAGGAGGTTCCAGGCTGATCAGCAGCAACAGAGAAGAGGAAGAACAAAGAGTACGAAAAATAACAAAACAAAGATTAGAGAAAGATGACAACAAGGGTATTTATGTCTTTCTTTTCATATTCTATCATTGAGTTCATGTGGTTTTTCATGAAGCATTTTCTTTAGAATCTCAAAACACCACAAACATCACGCGAAGCACTTACTTCTTTCGCCGAATACTCGGTTCTCGTGTCGAGCATATGGAAAGATTATAATGATAAAAATGCAAATGGTTAGTGGTGGCGAGCGATATAATTGTCGCACCACAACGTTGAGGACAAAGCACCATTGAAGGCATGTCGTTCACCTGCAGCGTCATTACGTGAATCTGTGGGTAATATTACATTGCCGAATATAACGGTATAATAGCAAGCCCAGCCGGGCCTGTGATTAATAACAATAGTCTTACTATTATGATTATATTGTTTCCCATCACGCGATAGCCATTGGAAAGTGTTAGGAGAGAAAATTGTTTCACGACCACAATCATTATACGAAAATTATTTGAAACAATTTCAAGTACACGTAATGATCCAACAGTAATTAGGTTTTTTTCTATTACTTATACTATTTTATTCGTCGGACAATTTTTTGGTAATAAAATAATAATTGTTTTATCAATAATAAATATCGTGGGTATTTCCTTTTTTTTTTATTTAGATTGTTTGTTGATGGTGGATTAAAAATTCATTTTTAAATTAATAGCCGAGTATTTGTGGGTATGGAGAGAGAGAGAGAAGATTTCTGTACGATCAATAAACTTGACAATTTGAAGAAGCATACTGGTTATTATGTGATTGAGTTATGGTTAGGATAGGATACAATGTGGTTTTGACGCATTGTATCCGGTATTTAAGAGCAAAGGCTAAAAGAGCAGGATATTGGAAGAATAATTAGATTGAAACAAAAAAATTAGCTCAAGGGTAAATGAAGAAAAAATTATAACTGGTTTATACTTTGGAAACTGAGATAATTTTGACAGGGAATATTTCAAAAATTATGCATCATTCTGGAGCTTGAAGTTGAAGCTTTGGAAATTAAATGAGTACTCGAAATTAAATTAAAAATACCTAGTCATCTTGAACACTAGTAAGTAGAAAATAAAATTAATTATAATACCCTTAAATTATTCAGATTTTCTTCAACTAATTTTTGAAATTTTCAATACTTTTTTAATTTTAAAGAAATCGTAGGAAAACCAAAAGAAAACAACTTTTAATAATAATCATTAACCTGGATCCTTGAATTTTTTTTATCATTCATTTTTAACTTTGCTTAAAATAAATTCAATAATTATTTGGAGAAATTAAAATACACACAAATATTAGAATTGTTTAAAAATATTGTTCATTCTAAAAGTGGTAACATTTCTTGATGATTTATTACTTCTTTTATTTATGATAAAAAATCATCTGATAAAAAGAATTCTTCAATTTAAATTGCAATAAAAATACAAAAGAAAAATTAAACTGATAACACTTACATCATTAAATCACTTGGCCAAGATAAAATTAAAGCCTCTTTCAAGCATAACACAATACAAAAAAATTTTTTTCTCATTAAAATACCAACATTACCACCCCCCGAAATAAAAAAAATTAAACAATTCTTCCATACTAATTATCAACTATAAACCTAGTTATTATACAAAAATTTGAAAAAAGTAAGGACATTGTTCCTACCGGAACTGTATTCATTGATACCTGGCATTTTTATTTGAATTCAAGAGCGAAACAAGTATTGCTTGCAGTAATTATAACTAACTGAAAGAATAAAGGTTCACGTGAGAAAATTACTCGTAGAGTTCGGAGGTCTCGAGTCAGATAAAAAGAAAGAAGGAGCGAAGAAGCTAGGATAAGAGGTAGGAAGTGAGAAGGAGAGTGAAAAGAAGAAGAAAGAATAAAGAACGCAGGCCACCGCGCGGGCGATGTTTTCAGGAATATCGAGGACGTAATTATCCATAATTACCAAGCACAGGCTTGAATCTTGAGCAGAGAGTTGAGCCCGGGCCGGTGGGGGGTATAGCCTGCAGTGGTTGGCCTTGCGTGGTAATTGTACTAATTATTACTGGCCCTCTCCTCGTCTCTCGTTTCTCTCTTATCCCTCTGATGGGCCTCTCAACTCAGAGGATAACAGATACCTTGCTAGAGTACTCTTCATGTAGACTGATTTTAGTATTCTACTAAAAATAAAATGTATCAATAATTCAAACATGTACCTCTTCACGCCACAGCTTTGAATAATTGTGCTAATTGGAGATTTGGTATGATTTTTAGCTTTGAAAAAACACCTTGTGTTTTGCAAATTATGGAGTGATAACATGATTTCTGTCTTAAGAGATAATTTGAGATGAAAAATTTAAGAGATATTTGAAATTGTAATTTTGGAATTATTCCTTGGAGTTGGTGGTTTAAATAATTGGAAATATGCATGAATTTTCTCCAGTAATTGTTGGATCATGACACATGTTTTAGTGAGCAGAAAAAAATTCTGATGGAGATTGAAGGTTTGTTCTTGGAATGATTTTAATTTTTGTAAGAATTTTAAAAACTCTTAAGTGATAGCAAATAATACTTTAATTATTCATAAAAAGAAAATAACATTCAATAAAAAAGTTCTGTGAAATTTAATATTTTTGCTTAGTTGAATGTTTTTTGCTATCAATAAAAACCTCTAAGATCTTCTACTATCAAAGTTTATTGATATCATTATTTATTCATGCAGTACAATTTAAAAAAATTTATGCATCATAACTCTTTACTAGTAAAATGTTTCATTTAATTCAAAGCAAAAGTCTTTTCATTGTTATTAAAAGTGTAACTATTTACTAACTTAATTTAATAAGTTTAAGCCAAATCAATAATCATTAAACTAAGCTGGTTATTAGACCCTAAGTACAAACTCATAATAATTCTCAACATTTAAAAATCCATACTTCTGTCTATTTTCCAAGAATCTAAATATTCTATCCTCCTCATTAATACAACTGATCAAAAAATAATCTATGAATTATCTAGGTTTATCAACATTTTATTATTTCCTCTTGAAAAAAACTTCACCAACAAATATCAGAATCCAAAGATGAAAATACACTTTAGGTTTCATTCTCATTTTTTTTTATTATTATTTGAACGAGTACAGATTCTTGGCGCCACGACTATTGTCGAGAATTTAATTGGTTCTCGGCATTAATTTAGCAGGGGTAATGAAGTATGGACGATTGGCAACACTCTATATGGATATCAATTACTTGCATCAAACGATTAATTGTGACAATCAATTGTAAATTGACGCTGCGAGTAATATATGTATAATGTTTCATTTTACGCATCTTATAATTATTGAGGTCATGGCTGAAACAACATTAAATAACTGCAGGGATGTATACATCCATTTCTTAACCCTCTTTAAAAAAATCAGAGCACACATTCACTGCTCTTCTTTGATCCTTCTTAATTAAACCGCATCGATCACTGCAATAATCCACCATTTAAATCAATAATTTAACCATTAGTCATTTGCTTTGTTTTTTATCATTAAGGGTGTTAATTATTTAACCTTTCATTTGGGCCAATTAAAAATCCTAAATGTTCAGCTCTACAGTGCATTGGAGTTGAATTAAATTATTATTTATATGCTGGGTGTACTCAAAGAGTTATGAAAACAATAAATTTACTTTTATTCAAATAAAGAGGACGAGGAAATAATGAAATTATTTAAAAGAATAATATTTCATCAGAAATGATATAAATATTCTTCCCAGTTTGATTAATTTTTTTCAAGATATCTATTTTTATTGAACGAATGATCTAGTTCAGCATTAAACCTAACTAATGAATCTTCAGTAATAACAGTATGAGTTTTTTGCAATTTGCTAGATTAAACGTGGAAGTTTTCAGCTTAATTAAAAGCTTGCTCCGCTATCGTAATAATAGTAGTTTCAATTGTTTTGTTTTTAATCATCATGTTTATATATTTTATCTTAATGATCATAAACAAGACATACAGCTTTCAATTATCAATCATGACATCATTAATAGTTTTTAATAAAACATGTTTTTGAAATTATTTATGAAAGTCTTCTTCTCAATCATCTATCAACAAGGACATCCACAATTAATCATTATTATTTATAGATTTTTCAGAGATTAATTTTCAATTTGTTTTACGACAACTTTGAAAATAGCTCAGAATTATCAGTTTCTTTTAAAATTGATATGTTAGATATATCACACAATGTATTGTAGGATAAATATTATTTACGACAGATTATGTTTAGATAAAAACTGATCACATATAGAGCTGACAAGGAATCTTTTATTCAGGTAAATATTTTGTAAAAAATTGAAATCGTTTTATCAGCTTAATATTATTCATTATTTGGAGACACACACATGAGCATGAATGTATACATGTGCACGATATTTACTTGACTCTGCTATCATTAAGCCAACTGATAAGTATAGAAAAATATACATGGCCTCAGGCAAAGATTCTCTAATGTGTGAATTCATTCGTACTTTTTCACTCGACCTATTTGCACCCCAGACCATTGCAAATCTCAATCTCGCGTCTGCGTTCTATAAAATAATGTCATTTCTATTTCCAGATGCTTTACTTTACCCTGGTCTTGTCATAAGATTCTAAACGTTCATCAGCTCTTTGTTTTTCCCATAAAACACGTGCTAGATTTCCATGTGGTCGATAACTCCTGACAGAACATTCTGTTGCACTTATTCCTCCAGATATCGTTGGCAAACAAATGTCATCAACATTACGACCTTGACAACAACACTTTGATGCTCCTGATTTCGACAATGATGACGAGGAAGAAGAGCAAGAGGTCATTGTTACGTGTCACTACACGATTAATCACTGAATTTCATAGTACACTCATGTCACGTCACTCACCACTTACTGACGTTTTTATTTATCATGACAATCTCTATTATACACGTTGTTATCGGAATTTCCCAATTAATTTTTAGCAACGTATGAGTTCCGTAAACACATTCCGCACGTGGCCATGTTGGCGAAATCGGCGCGCCCTTGCGGCTGGAATGAGAAGCTTTCTGTCAATCCAAGCAGTCGGTATAAAAGATTTTCAAGGCTGTAGGTAACAAAGGATAGCTATATCCTGGCGCAATAAATTCAATTAAATTTTCTTTTTAACTTTTTTTGTTTCTTCACAATTTCAATTAATTATTTGCTATATCTAACAAATAAAAAAATAATTAAATAGTTAGAAACCTTCAGCAACATTTAAAAATATTTCCTCAATGGTTTTATATTTATTTAATATGTTGGTTTATTCTTAATTGTATTTTAGACAAGAATTATTTAAATTTTTTATAAATAAATTATTTATTAATAAATGAAGCCATCTTATTTATTTTCCGTCGATCTTTTGTTTTTAATTGACTTAAACTTCTTTAAATTCACAAACTATTTTTTTTGCCATGATAATTCCATTTCGTAATTTTTATCTTCTGAAACTTGGCAAAATATTTTTCTTATGGCATCGTCCAGTATTTTAGCCAAAGTCTCAAATAACATAGAAGTTATAAGTTAATCAAAAGAAAATAACCCAAAACTTTTGCTGGACTTTGGATACGACAAAAATGTTTGAGAAATTTAGCTAAAGCCAAGTTTATTTAAAAAACTATCTCGCATAAAAAATTATCCCAGTGGTTATACAGAAAACATTTAACCAACTTTTCTTATTGGATACATTAAAAAATCCATTTAATCGAGCGAGTACAATCATCGCTTATAATTAACAACCTGGACTGCGTGAAATTGATTAAAGGTGACGGGTATACTGTTTCAAGGTTCCTTTTCAATACATCATGAGTATTTGGTTTAATTACCACTGGTATCCCACGGAGTTCCAATATAACATTTTATGCCAAAGTTCTTTGTGTGGCAAATTGTATAAATTTTATTTGAAACTTAAATAGTATGCATAGAAGAAAATATTTTAATGCTGCAGCTGATCAGGAGACTGGTCTTTCCAAATTCTTGGTAGCAGTTGGTATCTGCTTGCAGGAGTCTCTAAAAATAAAAGCTGAAACACACAGTAAATAACAATTATAAGCTTTGCTTTTCATTAAGAATAAGTAAACATTTCTTTTTCAATTCAAAGTTGTTGATGATGACTTTTAGTTTATTTGGTCTATTTGGAGATTTTTTCCAGGATGAACTTTACTCACATTGAGAAAAAAAAATTAATTGTGAACAATTAATATTTTTTTTTAATAATGAAATAAAAATTTTGAATTGATCATATATTTTAAGATCCATTGATGATAAAATTTTTCTAGAATAAATGAGAGAATGAAAACAAAATCTTTCTTAATGTGAGTACATGTTAAGAATCATTGCTCAAATGAGTTGATTAGCCACGGCGAACCCTCTCCTCTCACTGAAACAAAAGTCGCTGAGTGCTAATGTTTAGACTCCGAAAACAGAAGTCTAAACACGCTCGCAAAATACAATCACCAACCAGTAAATTCATCAGCACCAATCCGACACTCAAAATATTTCGAGCACAATATCGACAAGTGTAGTGTAGATAAAAAGAATTTTTAAAGATCAATACATCACCTCGAGTCGATTACTCTCAAGGGAGACCGTGAAAAATTTTTATTCATCTACTGCGTTCTTAGCTCGTAGCTACTTGAAGAGAGTATGCGAAAAAGAGATGGGCAGGAACGGATAGCCCCCCTTTAGAGAGAAAGAGAGGAATGAAGAAGTGTAGAGATGGTGAAAGGGAGAAAGGTGTCGTAGTGTCAGCGACAGTGAAAAATTCACCAATTAAAAAAATCTCATTTCTTCGGGTAACGAGGGGTGGCGTGCAATTAACGTCAAGACTGAAAATGATTTATAGGCGGGGCGGGTGTTTGGCGTATGCTCGCCTCTGGGGTAGCTTATCATAAATTAATGAATTATCAGAACGTTATACTCTAGAGCCCGCGGCATAAGGGAAAAGAAGAGGAGAGAAAAAAATACGAGCCGCGAAACCATCAATATGGGCTTTCAAATATTCATAGACGAGCCTGGTGTACTCTCAAGGTGTTAACAGCCATGGATCTCAGTTTCTTGTTAACTAAATTTGAATTTATAAAATATTTAATCCCTCTCAGCATTAATAATGTTACATGGAAAATATATTCCACCGCCGCAACAGATCGGTGCTATGTTCCTCCCACGCCGTTCATTTTTGTTGGATGGATAAAAAAATTAGCAAATACTACAAATTGAGTATTTCGATGCTCTCGAGTGCACTGAGAGAAAAATAAAATTTATTAAAAAGTAATTGTTAGGAAATAAAAATAAAATATTTTGATTAACTTCTTGCTAATTTAAAAATATTCCATGCATCCGAAGAAGTCATTAAAAAAAAATTAAAACAACGGTGGTTGTATACTGAGAAAAGAAATTTTTAATTTTAAAAAATTTATTGTTTTATTTTAAAATTTTAGTTCTACTTGCAGGCTTTATTCGCCTTCATTGAAACTTTTTACTAGAATTAAATAATATTAATAATAATTTGTCACCTAAGTATTGATTCCCCTCCATTTTTTACTGAATAATATTTTATATTCATACGAAAACCATCATCATCCACCTCAACATTTGATCCAGCAACATTTTTTAATGATGAAAAAATTTTTTCCAACTCATAAGCTCCAAGCATTCTTCATGTTCATCTGAATACCTAACTTATTTACCATAATGAGTTTACAAGATTAAAATGAGAGCCAGAGTTACCCATCATCAAGAATGCAGGAATATTTTTCGGAAGATCTAGATGAATAAAATAGAAAAAAAAAAGTTTCTAACTTATTAAACCACATCAAATATGACATGGAAATATAGAAAAACATTCATTCAATAAGAAAGAATAATAAGGAAAATCGTGAGGAGAAGTAGAAAAAAGTAAGAAAAAAATAGTCCAACTAACTCAAACGTGCCCGGGAGTCATCCTCTTTTACTTTCCTTTCTCGCCGAAAACTTTTCCACTTCAAAAGAAGCGTTTTCGCGAAAAAAGAAAAGCCTTCTCAGGAAACGAGTTCAAAGGTACAAAGAAGGCTCTCTTTTAGTCCTTTCCTCTCTTCCTTTCTTTTTTCTGATGTGAATATCATCAGTGTGAGCCGCTGGAGCGTACAACGTATCGCTGCAAAACGTCCAATTTTGAATCTGATTCAACGCCTATAACTCTGAGGCTTCGATGCTTTTGACAAAAAAAAAGACAATTGTGAATTTTTACATTGACAATAGACCAGAAATAACTTGCTCTCAAGTTTAAAAAATTTCAGGACTATCGAGACATTTATCGTCTTTCAATTTTATCACAAAGCATAACTTTGCATTTATTCTTCTATTCTTCACATGTCTCTCTTTCATTATAAAATTCCTTTTTCATTATTTTTCTTTTTGTATTCTGCTTACATGACGATCGCTGATTACAGGGAAAGCATTGACAAGTTCTGTCTTTCTCTGTCTGACTATTAAGTTCCCCGTTTGCTTAGTAATTGAGACTCTGTTTTTAACTTTTTATGTTACTTCGATCTTAAAATAATTCCAATGTCTTCCATTCTTGATAATTATCAAGTAATCGATTATTAACAACAATTTAATCGAAAGAAAAATAATCCCACTAATTTTAAATATTACTACAGTTTTATTTGATTGAAAAAAAATGGACCTAGGCTTACTTTGTGTCCTGACGACAAACTTCTAAACTTCCACCAAGTTAAAAAGGATTCAATTTAATTTTAAATATAAATTCGTTGTTGGAAAATTAATCTTCAAAAGGGGAAGGTTCTAAATTTAACATAAAAGTATTTTTAAAAGAAAATAAATTGATTTGCAAGATATGATTATAGAAATTTCTATTATATGAGATTTATTAATGTTCGATAGCTTATGAGGAAATAACACTATTATTATGAAAACTGTGATCTTTGAGAACATGCTCGACCTTTCACGATCTCACAGAGTGAATGCTAATTACTATAAATTAATTGACTGCAAATGTAAAAGCATCTTCAATTACACCGAGTTTCATTTATTCTAACAGATTCTCATTACATCAAATCGTACATTTTAACACTAAGCATTAATTATTTTTTCAATAAAACAACCAGTCCATGACAGCCAATAAACTCTAGTACACGATAAAATAATTATTGCTTTTCTTTGGGGAGTTTATTTTTTTTTTAATATCTTAAAAAGGTCATCCATTGAGTCACTTGTTTTTTTGATTTTCAAGTTCTGTGCTCTAGGTGTTGAAGCGACTGACGAGATCTGTTGGTCTAAACTTCTTCGTATGATTTAGTCTTCATTAAATAAATCTATAGTGAGTGCGTTGGGATGAATACTCATTCAGGTTGTATAGTTGGAGCTTAATTTGTTTATTGTTTCCATGTCCAGGTCTCGGTATTACATTTAGTGACGATAATTCAAATGACATCAAAACCTTTAAAGGTAAAAGAGCAGATGGGATGTGATATAGTTTATTATTAAATAAATTTTCTAGTTATGTAATGCTAAAATCCCAGGAAGAGACCTCTGATGAATTTTTAAAAATAGTATTAGCAATGTGATCCATGTGTTTCCCATCACGATTTCATCAAGATTTATCATTTCAAATCAAATTTTATGACTCTTACACCGAAAGGAAGAATCATTTCTTGATATTCTATTCACATGACGAGCATTGATTACAAGAAAAGCATTCAAAAGTTAATCCTTTCTCTCTCTTTAATTCTCAGGTTCCCTGTTTGGCTTAGTAATTGAGCCTCTTCCTACTGGGTATAATAATAATTGCCAATATTTTTTTTATTACCTCTTTCTTTTTTTCTATTTTTATTCTTCATGCATATTGAAAGCATGTATGCGTGCTTCACGCGCGCGAAGCAATAATATATGTTGAGTGGGGTTTACTCAAAGAGAAGCGTAAGACGAGGAGTAGTCTATACGTCTTATAACACACCTCGAAGGCGCCTAAAGTCCAGCTACTCT